GACTCGGTTTCCCGAAGTTAGCGTCTCCCATCTCCCTGAGTTAATCTGCTATAAGTAATCAAAACATCAACATAAACAACAGTTTAGAACATCAAACAGTGAACATTCAGATAAAAGTAGCAGTCATACTGTGTCGGGCGTTCTGTGGCTCGTGTCACCCCCGCGCTATCCCCCGCCCCAGCCGCAGGCCCCACCCGCAGCGGCAGGGCCAGACTGGATTGGATGATGTTAATCTGCTCTGGCGGGGTGTGAGGGACCCAAGGCCTCCCCGGAGTGTATGGGGATGGGCTTATGCGGTTCACGACCCTTGTCTCCTGTATTTAGAGTTGCGTGTTACAGTCAGTGGTGCCCGTATGGTGTTGGGCCCCAGGGGACCTGGGGGCGCACAGCCCCTCCATGAGTATCTGCGGTCAGTCGGGTTCCTTTTCTATTTGGTCCCTTGTCGGGGGGACTGGTCAGCGGTGGTTGGGCCGTCGGGTAGAGGCCTACTCTGCGGGTAGTGGGTGTGTCGCTGATTGTGGGGGGAGGGCCCGAGGGCGGGTATTTTTGTCCCGCTGTCCCCGCCTAGCGCCACCCCGGGCCCCTCTCCCACCCGCGGAGACGTCCCCGCTTTTGCCCTTGGGGAAACCCGCGCATGGCCCAGCCCTGGAGCAGGACCATGCCGTCAGGGCACCAGTGAATACTAATTTCATAGAATGCATAACAGAAAACAAAAAATCAATAAACACTTTTAGGTGGAACCTTGTTCAGTTTGTATAACCCGGTTCGTGTTATGGTCGGGGGGGGGGCCCGGGGACGCAAGGCGGCTCCGATTGGGGTCTCGCTTGCGGAGTGTGATGCTGGTTCCCGAATAACCGGGCATGTGGCATGGCCCGTGGGCATTCTGTTTTGTAAGGAGTGGGATTGCGCACCCTCTTTATTCAGGGGACCCCCGGCTCCAGCGCCCCAAGTATATAGTGGGGTGGTCGGGTCCCTGGGGCCGGAGGGCCCTGCACGGACGGAGTGGAGAGGGGGGAGCTAGCGCCACCCCGGGCCCCTCTCCCGCCCGCGGAGACGTCCCCGCTTTTGCCCTTGGGGAAACCCGCGCATGGCCCAGAGGGAGAGAGGGGAGCTAGCCCCTTTTGGCCTATCTGGCGGGGGAACAGGAGTTACCAGTGGTGTGGAACTATTGAAAGGGTAAATGCTGTTCTGGACTCAACTCTCCTCGATCCTCCGGTCACCACATCAATTGATGGGAGTTCTTGTTAGCAAATTAAGACACAAAAGAGTGCTTAGCAAGTTCTCAATGAGTATATTTTCAGGGCTAGCATTTATACACAGTTTGTCACGCAAGCACTGAGATTTATAGTTTCCTTATAGTTAATAGTACATACTTGTCTGACATTAAAAAGATAATCATTTGAATAAAGACGAGACAGGAACATCCTAAGGTCAAGCAAGGTCATACATTCTGTAGACGAAAGACCTTGGTACAAAATACATCTGCCAAAGTCAGCATAATTATTTCAAACATTATTTTAAAGCATATAAAGCAAAAAGAGTTAACCATTTCATGTCCTTACACTTACAACTATCGTTCCATGGGTTAAGTCCATGGGGGCCAGCAGTCCTTCAAGTTTTGCGGTGTGCTTGTCCTCTGGTGTTGGAAGCCGTGCGTTTCCTGATCTGCTGGCGGGGCGGCAGTGCTGTGCCTCCCGGGGTGTGCGTTGGTGGTTACTCCGGGTCGGCAGGGGTCGTCTCCGCTGGCAGCTGCAGTCCCAAGGCGTTGGCAAAGTCCACCATGTCTGTGACTTGGAGCAAGGTGTGGGACCGGTTCTCTTTGCGTGCAATCAATTTGAAGGGGTGCCCCCACATGTATTTCCACCCATGCTGGGTTAGAGCTGTGGTGAGCAGTTTGATTTCTCTGCGTTTCCGTAGTGTGGACGGTGCCAGGTCCTGGAAGAACTGAACTTGTCTCCCTTGAACTAGGGGAGGGTGGGCTCTAGCTATATCCATGAGCCGTTCTTTTTGTAGCGAAAGTTTAGCATTTTTAGAACCACATCCCTTGGTGCTGTAGGGTAAAGCACAGAGGACCGCAACGATCTATGGGCCCGTTCAATGGTGAGCTCGTGGTTTGAGGCCTCTGGTAGCATGGCTTTGAGCATATCCCCTATGGTGGAGTACAGGGTGTCTGCCGTGATAGATTCAGGGAGGCCTCTGAGCCAGATGTTGTTCCGGCGAGATCGGTTATTGAGGTCCTCCATGCTGTCTTCCAGATACCTGATTTTTCCGTGGAGTTCAGTGATTTCATTGTCCTGGAATTGTGATTGTTCGGAGAGCTCTGAGAGGTGAGTTTCAGTTTGGCCCGTCCTTGTGGCGAGTGCATCCAGATCGGAGCATAGGCCCGCAAGCTGTTTTTCAAGCTCCGCGGCTGTATAGGCCTTGATGTCGTTTGTGGCCTCTTGAAGGAGCGTGCGGAGGTCTCATTTGGTTAGGGGGGCATCTTCGGTCGTGTGCACCCTGCTGTTGTCCGACTCGGAGCCCGAGTCTTCGCGGCCGTGCATTAAAGATGGCGGCTGCTGGTCTTTGGCACGGAACATCATCGCTACCAAGGGTGTAGAGTCTCTCTTTTTTCGGCTTGCTTTAGGGTGTAAAATGTGGCTTCACAAGCTGGAGACCACAGGACCTGCTTAGGGAGATTCTTCTTGGTCAGGACGGTCAGGGTCTTGGCTATCGTGCTATAGTCGGGGACAAAACGTCTGTAATACCCTGCCATCCTTAGGAAGGCCAGTACCTGGGTCTTAGTGCGGGGTGTGGGCCAGTTAGCTACTGCTTCCACCTTGTCTGGCTCCGGTCTCTGGTTTCCACACCCCACCCTCCCAAGTTCTGCACCTCAGCCATGCCTAGATGGCACTTATCTGACTTCAGGGTCAGGCCAGCGGCCCGAATCTTATCCAGAACCACCCCTACATGAATTAAGTGCTCCTCCTAAGACCCACTGTAGATCGCAATGTCATCCAGGTATGCACAAGTAAAATCCTGGAAGCCATCAAGGAGCCTATCCACCATACGCTGGAAGGTAGCCGGGGCATTCTTCATCCCGAAAGGCATGACCTTGAACTGGTACAGACCAAACGGGGTGACGAATGGGGATAGCATCCTCGGCCAGGAGAATCTGCCAATATCCCTTTCACAGGTCTATGGTAGTCAGATAGTGTCCCCTGGCTATGTGGTCTAGCAGTTTGTCTACCCTGGGCATCGGGTAGGCGTCAGTGGTGGTCTTCTCATTGAGACGCCTGTAGTCCACACAAAACCGGGTGGTCCCATCTTTCTCAGGCACCAGGACTACAGGCGAAGCCCAAGGGCTGTCAGAGGGACAATGACTCCTAGCTGGGTCATCTCCTGGATCTCCTTCCGCTTTCCTTCTCGGACTGCTTCAGGGGTACTGTAGAGGGGTAGTCTAAGGGGTGCCTGTCTGGGGGTCTCTACTTTATGCACAGCTAGTGTGGTATAACCCGGTTCCTGAGAAAAGGTCGCCCTTTTCTACCATAGCAGCCACTTAGCCTTTTCCCTTTCCAAAAGGGTCAACCGTTCCCCTAGCTGTACCAGGCTCGCCAGTTCAGTCTGGGGATCCCTCTCTAATAAGACAGGGAGAGGTAAGCTTTCAGAACATACACATACAGCAGCAACATCCTCCTGTCTTTCCTGGCATTCCTTCAGCATGTTCACATTGAAGGACTGCTGGATCCTTTCATCTGCACAGCTGGCAATAATATACGTAGTGTCACAAACCTAGGCCACGACTTTATTCGGCCCCTGCCAAGATGCTTGCATCTTGTTGTGCTTCACCGGCTTAAGCACCAAGACCTTTTGCCCCACCTGGAAGACACGCTGTCGGGTACCCCGATCATACCATCTCTTCTGTCTACCCTGGGCCACCTGGAGGTTCTCTCTGACCATTAGTGATGCACCGAACGGTTAGCTGGTGAATAGTTACCGGTGAACATAGCATGTTCGCGTTCGCCACAGCGGGCGAACATATGCACGGTTCGATCCGCCCCCTATTCGTCATCATTGAGTAAACTTTGACCCTGTACCTCACAGTCAGCAGACACATTCCAGCCAATTAGCAGCACACCCTCCCTAGCAGACCCTCCCACCTACTGGAAGGCATCCATTTTACATTCATTCTCAAGCTGCATGCTTAGTGAGAGGAGGGAAAGTGTAGCTGCTGTTGATTAGATAGGGAAATGCATAGCTAGGTTAGGGTATACAGTGTCCACCACAGTCCTGAAGGACTCATCTGATCTCTGCTGTAAGGGCAGCACCCCAAAAAGCCCTTTTTAGGGCTAGAACATCAGTCTGCTTTTTTTTTTTTTCTGTGTAATGTAATTGCAGTTGCCTGCCTGACAGCTTCTGTGTCAGGCTCACAGTGGATACTGTGCCCAGTGCCACCACCGACTCACTGGTGTCACAATAGCTTGCATTTAAAAACAAAAAACTTTTTTCACTGTTATAGATTGAATAGCAGTTAGTTGTCACAAAGCGGGTGTGTCAGGCTCACAGTGGATACTGTGCCCAGTGCCACCACCGACTCACTGGTGTCACAATAGCTTGCATTTAAAACCCAAAAACTTTTTTCACTGTTATAGATTGAATAGCTGTTAGTTGTCTCAAAGCGGGTGTGTCAGCCCTACAGCGTGTACTCTCCCAACCTCTGCCAGTTCACAGTGCCACTCATATCTGGTGTCACAGTAGCTTGCACGCATAGTACCACTAATCGAAAAAAAAATGTCAGGCAGAGGCAGGCCACCCCGCAGGGGCCGTCGTGGTCGTGGTGCTGTGATTCCCTTTTGCCCTAGAATAATGCCCAGTTTTCAGAGGCCAGGTACCCTGAACTTGAAAAGTTCTGAGGACATAGTTGACTGGCTAACATAGGACACCCAATCTTCTACAGCTTCCGCTCGGAACCTTGATGCAACATTCTCCTCCAGCTTAGCTTCGGGCACCTTTCAAGATACCACTCACCCGCCTGCCGCCACCACCAACACAAGCACCACAGCCGCTTCACTTGGTATGTCAGAGGAGTTATTTACACATCCGTTTGAAGAAATGAGTGATGGCCAAACCATTATTGACAGAGGATGCAGATAACAGGGATATGTCTCAATCAGGCAGCATTACATATGTACGGTGTGATGATGATGATGTTGTACCCGCTGCTGCTTCCTTTGCTGAGTTGTCAGATACAAGTGAAGCGGTTGATGATGACGATGCATCCATGGATGTCACGTGGGTGCCCGCTCGTCAAGAAGAAGAACAGGGTGAAAGTTCAGATGGGGAGACAGGGAGGAGGAGGAGACGAGTTGGAAGCAGGGGGAGGTCGTCGCAAGGAGCTAGTGGCACAGTCAGACAGCATGCATCGACACCCGGGGTCAGCCCGACAGCACGCCAATCAACGCATGCTGTGTCCACCACCAGAATGCCGTCATTGCAGAGCTCAGCAGTGTGGCATTTTTTTGGTGTGTCTGCCTCTGACAACAGCGATGCCATTTGCAACCTGTGCCAAAAGAAACTGAGTCGTGGGAAGTCCAACACCCACCTAGGTACAACTGCTTTGCGTAGGCACATGATCGCACATCACAAACGCCTATGGGATCAACACATGAGTACAAGCAGCACACAAACTCAAAGCCGCCATCCTCCTCCTGGTCCAGCATCTTCAGCCACGCCAACCACTGCTGTCCTCCTTGCCCCCTCTCCATCCGCCACTCCGTCTCTCGCCTTGAGCAGTTCCTGCTCATCTGCCCACAGTCAGGTGTCTGTCAAGGACATGTTTGAGAGTAAGAAGCCAATGTCAGAAAGTCACCCCCTTGCCCGGCGTCTGACAGCTGGCTTGTCTGTACTATTAGCCCGCCAGCTTTTACCTTAGGCAGGCGTTCAAAAAATTTGTAGCTATTGGAACACCGCAGTGGAAGGTACCCGGACGAAATTTCTTTTCACAAAAGGCAATCCCCAACCTGTACTCGATTGTGCAAAAGGAAGTAATGGCATGTCTGGCACACAGTGTTGGGGCAAGGGTCCATCTGACCACTGATACCTGGTCTGCAAAGCATGGTCAGGGCAGGTATATCACCTACACTGCGCATTGGGTAAACCTGCTGACGGCTGCCAAGCATGGAATGCGTGGCTCTGCAGAGGAGTTGGTGACACCGCCACGACTTGCAGGCAGGCCTGCTGCCACCTCCTCTACTCCTCCTACTCCATCCTCTTCCATAACCACCTCGGCTGAGTCCTCTTCTGCTGCTGCGTCTTGCTCCAGCAACGCTGGAAGAGGATTGTGAGGAAGAGGAGTCAGAGGAGGAATGTTGCTTTGAGGAGGAGGAGGAAGACCAACCACAACAGGCATCCCAGGGTGCTCGTTGTCACCTATCTGGTACCCGTGGTGTTGTACGTGGCTGGGGGGGAAGAACATACCTTCATTGAGATCACCGAGGAGGAGGAATGGGAAATGAGTAGCTCGGCATCCAACCTTGTGCAAATGGGGTCTTTCATGCTGTCGTGCCTGTTGAGGGACCCTCGTATAAAAAGGCTGAAGGAGAACGATCTGTACTGGGTGTCCACGCTACTAGACCCCCGGTATAAGCAGAAAATGGCTGAAATGTTACCAAATTACAAAAAGTCGGAAAGGATGCAGCATTTGCAAAATAAATTAAAAAGTATGCTTTACACAGCGTATAAGGGTGATGTCACAGCACAACGGGAATCTAACAGGGGAAGAGGTGAAAATAATCCTCCTCCTCCCACGACCACGCCGGCAAGGACAGGACGCTTTATAGACGTGTTGTTGATGGAGGACATGCAGAGCTTTTTAAGTCCTACGAATCGCCACAGCCCTTCGGGATCCACCCTTAGAGAACGACTTGACCGACAGGTAGCAGACTATCTCGCCTTAACTGCAGATATCGACACTCTGAGGAGCGATGAACCCCTTCACTACTGGGTGTGCAGGCTTGACCTGTGGCTTGAGCTATCCCAATTTGCGATAGAACTTCTGGCCTGCCCCGCTTCAAGTGTCCTGTCAGAAAGGACCTTCAGTGCAGCAGGAGGTATTGTCACTGAGAAGAGAAGTCGCCTAGGTCAAAAAAGTCTAGATTACCTCCCCTTTATTAAGATGAATGAGGGATGGATCCCGACGGGACTGACAGTGGGCGATACATCCGACTAAAAAAGGCCTGATGAGATGAGCTGCCTTGGGCTTAAAATGGTCCACACGCTGCTGTATTTTAGCTCTGAATGCCGGTTGACTTGCGTGACTTATCCGCCACCAACTAGGGTTCAAGCCGCAATGTTTTAGGGCAGTGCTCCCCAACCTTTTTATCGCCGCGGACCGGTAAACGTTTGATCCACGTACCGGTCCGCGGCCCGGGGGTTGGGGAACACTGTTTTAGGGCACTTTCTGCCTGGGAAACAAACATCAATTCTTCTGGCTGCTGCTACAGCAGCGGCTGCAACAATACCTAATTTTTCAGGCATGTGTACATGCCTAATTTTTCGGGCCTCTGGTGCTGCACTGTGGTTTCAAAAACCAAACCAAAAAAAAGGCACATAACAGGGATTAAACTGATAAGAATAATACTACTTAACACACCTTATATTAACGCAGAGAGAGGCAACGCAGAGAGAGAGGAGTCTGAAGAAGAGGAGCCAGAGGAGGAAGGTGGCTTTGAGGAGGTGGAAGACCAAACACAGCAGGCGTCCCAGGAGGCTTGTTGTCACCTGTCGGGGACCCTTGGTGTTGTACGTGGCTGGGTGGAGGAAGAGACCTTCAATGACATCAGTGAGGACAAGGAACGGGACATGGCTAGCTTGGTATCCAACCTTGTGCAAATGGGGAGTTTGCGGTGCATTAAACGGGGAGTTTGGTCTGTCACTGTGAAGCGGGCGTAACCCTTACACTACCTGATTGATACAACATCATACAGTAGGTCCCCCCTCATTATTTTTATGGCCCCCACCCACCGCTCACGGGTGGGGGTGGGCGGGAGGACAGTAGGTCCCCCCCCATTGAGATTTATGGTCCCCACCCACCGTGCAGGGGTGGGGGCTGGCGGGGAGGACAGTAGGTCAGCCCTTATCCTTATTTACTGAATATTCCCCTGTATAACAATGTTTGGCATTTAGTGAATATTCCCTATTCTGCTCTGTATCAGTGTGTATCAGGGATCCTTAGGATAGGTGTTAATCCATATCTGCCAAGTGACCCTATGTAGGGGGAACAGTCTCTATTCTGCTCTGTGTCAGTGTGCATCATGATCTCTAAGGACAGGTGTCAATCCATATCTGCCAAGTGACCCTATGTAGGAGGAACAGTCTCTATTCTGCTCTGTGTCAGTGTGTATCAGGGGCTCTGAGGACAGGTGTCAATCCATATCTGCCAAGTGACCCTATGTAGGAGGAACAGTCTCTATTCTGCTCTGTGTCAGTTTGTATCAGGGGCTCTGAGGACAGGTGTCAATCCATATCTGCCAAGTGACCCTATGTAGGAGGAACAGTCTCTATTCTGCTATGTTAGGTGATTTATGCCCTTTATGGATTAAGACCAGACTCTGCATCAACTGTGTAATTTTCCATGGGAGTTTTGCCATGGATCCCCCTCCGGCATGCCACAGTCCAGGTGTTAGTCCCCTTGAAACAACTTTTCCATCACTATTGTGGCCAGAAAGAGTCCCTGTGTTTTAAAATTCGCCTGCCCATTGAAGTCTATGGCGGTTCGGCCGGTTGGCGAACATTTGCTGAAGTTTGCGTTCGCCGTTCGCGAACCGAAAATTTCGGGTTTGCGACATCACTACTGACCATCAGAGACAGCTGCCCCATGCGGTCCTGGAGTTCCAGGAGGTATGGTACTATGGGGGTTCCCTCCCTCTCTATCTCTCCCTCCCATTGTCCTATGATGAGATCAAGGGGTCCGCGGACCCTCCTCCCATAGAGCAACTCGAAGGGAGAGAGCCCAGTAGATTCCTGGGGTACCTCTCTGTAAGCAAATAACAGATGAGGCAGGAATCTCTCCCAGTCCCTGCAAGCGTCATTAAAGGTCCTCAGCATCTGCTTGAGGGTGCCATTAAAAACGCTCACAGAGAACGTTAGTTTGTGGATGGTAGGGTGAGCTGAGCAAGGGCTTAATATTGCACACCTTCCACAACTGCTGGGTGAGCACAGCGGTGAATTGGGTTCCTTGAACGGAGAGGATCTCCTTAGTGAACCCCACTCTAGAAAAGATCTTAACCAGAGCATCAGTCACTGTCTCCGCCTCAATGTGGGAGTATCTATGGGCGTTGAACCTGGGTGGCTGGGAATGAGGGACAGCCGGAGGTTGTGCTGCAGCCCGGTATGCCTGTGGTGGTGGTGCAGTCGCTGAGGTGAAGGTCATTGGCCGATGATCAAGGCGGGTTGGTGCTTTAGCTGTTTGGTTGTCTAGCTTGCAGGCATCGCTGTACTCGTCCGCTAAGCGAGCTGCTTCTGCCATGGTAAGGGGTTTTCTATCACGTACCCATTCTCTGACCCTGTGGATATTTTATCATAAAAGTACTGCAACAGGAATAGCTGCAATACTTCCTTTTCAGACACCGCCTGGTATCCAGCTAGCCAGTGAGTTGCCTTGCGGTGTACTCGACAAGCCCACTCGGTGTAAGAATTGCCTGCTTGTTTGTTGGTTTCTCAGAACCTCCTGCGATACGCCTCCGGTGTGACTGCGTATCTGGCTAGTAGGGCTTCTTTTACCAACCCATAATTTGTAAGATATCAAACAAGAACAATAGAGTATACACACTATAATTGTATAAAAATAATATAAGGGAGAGATACCAGGTGTACCTCACTAGCACCTAAAATACATATAATAGAAAAAACAAAGTGGAAACCCCTCCCAAATACGTGATATTGTAACAATAAATGTAAATAACCTGAGATATAGGTAATAATTCGCAGCCAGAATCTGTTTGAAAAATTAAAAAACTAACATAGCGTAATATAGTACTAGAAAAGTGAGTATTGACGTGAAAATGAATACACTCACAAACAAAATTGGAATTCAGGCTTCTCACCCTCCAAAAGGGTAGCAATCTTAATAGGTAGTCCTCCTCCGTGGAATATGTATAAAAGAATAGGAAACAAATATAGTGAAGCATGTAATTGTATTATACAATCATATTTATTGGTCACACTTACAGGAAAAAAGATGTGACAGGCATGTCTCCAAATCACATGGAACTCCAAGACTGATATAAAAAGTCCAATAGAAAATCCAATGGAGCAGGCAGGATACAGAAAAAATAAATAAAATAAATATAAAATGTACATACAAAATATAAAAACAAATAGCAGCATGTATAGGTTCCAAAATATCCATATTTGGATATTTTGGAACCTATACATGCTGCTATTTGTTTTTATATATTTGGATATTTTGGAACCTATAAATGCTGCTATTTGTTTTTATATATTTGGATATTTTGGAACCTATACATGCTGCTATTTGTTTTTATATATTTGGATATTTTGGAACCTATACATGCTGCTATTTGTTTTTATATTTTGTATGTAAATTTTATATTTATTTTATTTATTTTTTCTGTATCCTGCCTGCTCCATTGGATTTTCTATTGGACTTTTTATATCAGTCTTGGAGTTCCATGTGATTTGGAGACATGCCTGTCACATCTTTTCCTGTAAGTGTGACCAATAAATATGATTGTATAATACAATTACATGCTTCACTATATTTGTTTCCTATTCTTTTATACATATTCCACGGAGGAGGACTACCTATTAAGATTGCTACCCTTTTGGAGGGTGAGAAGCCTGAATTCCAATTTTGTTTGTGAGTGTATTCATTTTCACTTCAATACTCACTTTTCTAGTACTATATTACGCTATGTTAGTTTTTTAATTTTTCAAACAGATTCTGGCTGCGAATTATTACCTATATCTCAGGTTATTTACATTTATTAACAAGAAAAAGAGAGGTGAAATGGCGCTAAATGGTTGTATATATAAATCCCAGTGCAGCAAAAAACAAACCAGTGTTGCAGTCACCTTACAAAACACTTACATGTACAAAATTGGATAAAAAAGGAAGTTTTGCGCACACGTTGGAAAATGTGATAATCTGTAACATAAATAGCTATCATAGGATAATATGTAATCAATACTATGTATATTTAGTAATAACTGGAAGCACTCACAATTTAGAGAGCCATATGAGTCGGCTCTCTACTTGTAAAAACCTGTCGAATAATTCCAGGCAGAGCTGTATACCAACTGGTCCCACCAGGTACAGATAGAAGATATCGTCTGGATACAGTCAGGAACTCAAGGTAAGTATAAAAATCTTTTATTCCAATAAAGATATATTTAAAATTTAAGCATAACGCGTTTCGACCATATCATTGGTGTTCCTCAGATGCAATGAACAATAAATCACAATAACATACTTTTATAATGCACATATAATTAAAACATTACATACATATGGTGGTTAAATGCACAATCCGCCCTTTTTGACCATATAAGTGTTTTTCCGGGTCATTTTCCCCTCCCAATATTGCGTCCTCATAGTCCTTATACTTTCTATTATGACCTTCTTTGGAGGATATGTGAGCTTCCTGCTCACATTGCTGCCGATCATGTGACTCGCGCACTTGTTCGTCATGTGACTTCCGGTCTAGATGCCGATACGTCACTTCCGGTTGCGTCATTTCCGCTTTTTCGTGTTTACAATTTCACCATTCCAAATAGGTTAAAGCAGAAAACGTCACTTCCGTTTTACACAATGAAATAGAATAAGTCTTTTATAGGAAATTAATCCTAAATATGTCCATATAAAGTGCAAATTATTAACTCAAACAAAAAACAGAGAGGAAAGAGGGAAGAAAAAAACAGAGGAGAGAGCAAATTATTTAAAAATTAACCCAAGTAATATAAAAAACAATGTATATAAAATAATCATTAAAAATATAATATATTGGCAATTAAACACTATAAAACATCATATACATATCAAAAGCGCATAAAATGGGCCCTATGTCAAAGTCCAAATTTAATCCCCTTGGATATAAGGTTTGTAACTCAAAAATCCAAGAGCCCTCTTTTTTGCTTAAGTTTAAAATGTTATTTCCTCCTCTCCAACTAATCTTTTTATGTCTTTTTGGGAGAAATCATTTGTATATCAAGGACATGATTTTGGGGCAAACTTGGTCCTCTACAAAAGATATATAGATGATATCTTTATCATTTGGAAAGGTACTGAAGAAGATTTTTTAATTTTTTTTAATTATCTTAATCTTAATGATTGGGGGATAAAATTAACAAAAAATGTGAGCTCAACCTCTATAGAATTTTTAGATCTTAATATTTTTATCTCAAATAATCAGGTTAAGACAAAAACTTTTTTTAAACAAGTTGATATCAATAGTTTTATCGATATTAAAAGCTGCCACTATGACCCTTGGCTGCGAAATATACCAAAAGGCCAATTCTTACGTTTAAAAAGAAACTGCACTGAACAGGAAGATTTTAATAAACAATCAGATTTTTTAAAGAAACAGTTTTTACAAAAGGGTTATAAGAAAGAAGAATTAGATAAAAGCCTAGCTTTGGCCAATACCATAAAGAGGCCAGAATTACTTAAGTATAAAGAAAAAGAAAAAGGTCCTAAATCGGATAGAATCCCTTTTGTTTTTAATTTTGCAAGTAATATAGGGTGTTTAAAAAAGATTATTAATAAAAATTGGCACATCCTTCAACAAGAACATGACATCAAAGAGTTCTTAGGTGAAAGACCCAAGTTTATTTTCAGAGATGCTAGAAATTTAAAACAAATATTAACCTCTAACCACATTAATGGTGAGGAGACAAGAACTTTTATAGATAATTGGTCAAAAAAGCAGAAAGGTTTTTTTCACTGTGGAAATTGCAACGCATGTAGGAGTACAGGTATAAATGGAAGGAAGCAAGATTCCTTCCTATCCACTATAACTAAAAAACAATATTCGGTAGGTTCTTTTATTACATGTGAGTCGAAAAATGTTATTTATCTCCTACAATGTAAATGTGGACTACAGTACATAGGGAAAACATCTAGAGCACTTAAAGTTTGTGTAAGTGAACATGTTAGAAACATTAGGAAGGGTTTCCCTAGTCATAGCGTTTCTAAGCATTTCCTAGAAGTACATCAATCGAATCCTAAATTAGTTTTTATGGCTATTCAAAAAGTTTCTAATAGTTGGAGAGGAGGAAATAACATTTTAAACTTAAGCAAAAAAGAGAGCTCTTGGATTTTTGAGTTACAAACCTTATATCCAAGGGGATTAAATTTGGACTTTGACATAGGGCCCATTTTATGCGCTTTTGATATGTATATGATGTTTTATAGTGTTTAATTGCCAATATATTATATTTTTAATGATTATTTTATATACATTGTCTTTTATATTACTTGGGTTAATTTTTAAATAATTTGCTCTCTCCTCTGTTTTTTTCTTCCCTCTTTCCTCTCTGTTTTTTGTTTGAGTTAATAATTTGCACTTTATATGGACATATTTAGGATTAATTTCCTATAAAAGACTTATTCTATTTCATTGTGTAAAACGGAAGTGACGTTTTCTGCTTTATCCTATTTGGAATGGTGAAATTGTAAACACGAAAAAGCGGAAATGACGCAACCGGAAGTGACGTATCGGCATCTAGACCGGAAGTCACATGACGAACAAGTGCGCGAGTCACATGATCGGCAGCAATGTGAGCAGGAAGCTCACATATCCTCCAAAGAAGGTCATAATAGAAAGTATAAGGACTATGAGGACGCCATATTGGGAGGGGAAAATGACCCGGAAAACCCTTATATGGTCAAAAAGGGCGGATTGTGCATTTAACCACCATATGTATGTAATGTTTTAATTATATGTGCATTATAAAAGTATGTTATTGTGATTTATTGTTCATTGCATCTGAGGAAGACCAATGATATGGTTGAAACGCGTTATGCTTAAATTTTAAATATATCTTTATTGGAATAAAAGATTTTTATACTTCCCTTGAGTTCCTGACTGTATCCAGACGATATCTTCTATCTGTACCTGTCGCTGGTTTGCCTCCAAAGCTGCTATGACCCGTTCAATGATATCTGCTGAGGGGTTGGGGCCAAAATGTGCCTGCCTTATGCGGACCGCCCGGTCAAAACTTGCCTCCTCAGGTGTCCTGTCTGTAGTGCTGAGCCTCTCGCTGTTATCCATTTCCAGCAGTTCTGCAATAATGTCCCTTTTCTTTCTGTTACTTTCTGAGCAGCCACGGCTCTCCAGTAAATCCTTAAGGGTGGAGCGTTTCAGTTGTTCATACTGTAATTCCATCCGTCTGTGGCTCTGTAGGTGACCTCTTGGGCTGTAGGAACATCCCGCCGCTTGCCACCAATTGTTACGGCTTCCCCGGTAGGAGAGGGGTTACAGCCATATTGGACGTTCCCTTCCTGAATACAGAGGTAGCCACTGTGCGCTCCAAACTGCCGAACAACAATCACATGAACCAGCTAGTCTCCCAAACAGCCGAACAAGCGTAATCCATACAAATAATCCCCCCCAATGATGAGACAAAGCTCCATATTGAGGGTCAGCAGGTATCTGGTTTATTAAGGGGCTACCTGTCCGGTATTTATGCAGGTCTCCCACCTGGTGGACACTCCCCTAGGGGACCAAATGGGAGACTGTGACAAGGACATTACATTGACCAGAGTGTTACACATGTAGCCATGCCCCTTTAATTACCAAAGACCCTATGCTCTGCCCGGGAGATAATTGTGAAGTAATTCAATTATCTCCCTGGACACAGAGCAAACGCCATTTTAAGTGACTATAACAAAATGCATAAAAATATATAACTTTACAATAAATGGACATCATACAGGCATTCAACGTGTCCCCAGATAGCTGGGATCTTAGCGCACAAAAGTACCGAATAGTGCTCAGATCCTATGCACACAGTCCAATCGTCGTGGAGTCAAAGTGTTCACAAAGTCTGTTCTCCATACGAATAGACTCCACGTGATGACTATCTGGGGTATGGCTTATTCGCGGACAAAATACCAAATACAGTGACCTTCGTGAGTTTTCTACCGAAGGAGAAGGGAGGTCGGCGGCTTCAGCGGTGTTCATGGCAAAAAGTGTCCCTTTTGAGTTCCGTGAGTTTACTGCCGAACACCGCTGAGCGTTCGTAGATTTAAAATGGCCACGACCTTGTGTTCGGAATACGAATGGCGGCCACCCAGCTACAGGCATCAATTAAGAGGTGTCTGCGGTTAACCTCAACGTTCTAATGGGGCCAAAAGGTTAACCAGCAGCACACTTCTCTACTGGGTGGCCAGCCGTTCTGGAGTTTTGTTCGGTAGTTTCCGGGAAACATATAGAGTTCTACACGAATGGGGAAAGACAAGAATCAAATAAAATAACACTAATTCAAGCAAACGAAGTAAGAGTAGTTCCATGTAAATCCAAGGCAGAGGGATCTGTCACAAGGTACATTCAAGATATCCCCAGATAGCTTTGATCTGAGCGGATATTATTACTGAATGGTGCTCAGATCACATACATACAGTTCAATCGCCATGGAGCCAAAGTCTTTCCCATAGTCTTTCTTTACACAAATGGGATCCATGGCTTAGCTATCTGGGGTAGCACTATTCACATGTACAAAGTGCCGAATGACCCGGTGTCCGTGTAATTACAAGAGAAGGGAGGTCGGCGGCTCAGCGGTGTTCGTGAGGCCATAATCCAGAGGGAGCAAACGAGCAACCAGGCTTCTCCAATGCCCAGTGGCGAGGTTGGTTTCGTCACACGCAGATATTGAAACAATAAGCATTCAAAGGTTTTAATGCAGTGCATAGTATATATAAAACACAGTTTGTGTAGGGGTGTATACATCAACAGCAATATCAACCATGGGGGTCCTAAAGGTGAACCTTCACCAGTGAATAAAACATTGAGAATCACCTAGAATGGTATCATTATTTCATGCGAAGCTGCATTTTCTTATCAATTTGAATTATATATGTTGCAAGAGACATCATTATCCAGTTTGACCAGCTGTCTCTTCTTCTGGTATCTCCAGCTGTGATTGGGGATCTGGACCGGCTGCCCAGTATCCCTGTAGGGCCGATGGAGAGTCCCACCTGCAGACTGGAGTACTTCCCAGGCCCAGTGGATAAGGGTTCTCTACTTCGGGAGATGGTAGTGAAGCAGGGATAATGGGTCTGTGTTAGTCTGGTTACCTTTCCCAAAGGGTGCAGTTGTCCAGAAGGCCTCCTGTCACAAGCTGTCATTTGCACATCTAGGGTCTTCATGTGGACCACGTTGCTGGGGATGGAGGGCGAATTCCCCGCTCTAGGGGGTAACTCCTGCCGCTGGGGAGAGGGACCAGTTGTCCCTTCTACCTTTAAACCATACTGCCACTAGGGAGTGGGACCGGTTGTCTGGACCACACTTATGGAGACATCCGTGCTTGGTGGGCAGAGGTCAGCTAGCATTTCAGCTTGGTTGGCCTGTTTGTCATCAGGCTCTTTAACCAATGGACAGGTAGGGCAGAGGTCTGCTGCGTACTGCCCTGTTGCCAGCTCTTCTGCTCGGAGGGTGTCATTGGAGCAGTTTCCTCCACTACACCCGCAACCCAATTGAGAATTTGTCGCTAGGGAGAAAAATCCACTACCCCCTCT